ATATTTGAAAATTCTGTTGACTAAACCAGTTGTTTCCTAAAATTCCATCAAAGGCGGAATTTTGAACATTCTGAACTATATAGAATAGATTATTTCCAATATACTGTTCATCAAGGTATAACTGTTGTTGATTTATACCATCGACTTCCAGACCGGTTCCTTTTAAAGTATTTAACATTATATTGCTTGGTAATGTAATTTTATTGTTTATTTTTGCATCCAATATCAAAATTTCTGATCCAGTATCTATCAAGAAATTGTATTTTCTACCCCTTGAGTCTAAAGATAATTTTACTACCGGGAGCCGGACTTTAGAAGCGGTCCCGGTCAGTACTCGTTTCCCGAATTAGAGTCTTCATCTGATTCATAATCTGTTTCTTCTTCTTCGTCAGTATAGTCAGATATTTCGGATTCAGATTCAGATTCTTCTTGTTCTTCTTCTTCAGGTCAGTACTCGTTTCCCGAATTAGAGTCTTCATCTGATTCATAATCTGTTTCTTCTTCTTCGTCAGTATAGTCAGATATTTCGGTTTCAGATTCAGATTCTTCTTGTTCTTCTTCTTCATTTTTGATGTCAATGAGATTTTTCTCTTCTGATTGTGACTCTTGTCCATCTGGATTTTCTATTGTTGTAGTATGGACTCGCTTACTTTTTCTCTTTGAAAATCGTTTTCCTTTGTTTGATGACTTTCGACAAGTACATGCTCCAAGACAAGTACATTTAGGAGGGAATGGCCTTCTCCTTACTTGGCTTTTGGATCGTCTTTCACATGTACAGTATTTCCTTGGTCTGTTACACCTGCGACATCTGTTGGATCTGGTCATTATGGGTCTATTAAATTTTGATGGTAAATTTCCTGTTTTTACTCTGCATTCTTTACTCCAATGTCCAACTTTTCCACATTTGAAACATTTTCCTGTTTTGGGTTGTGAGTTGAAATTGATTGTTTTATCTTCATTCTTAAATGGAGTAAACATCGGATTCTTCCGTTTTGGGTTTCTGTTTTTAATGACGTTGCAACAGAAAGATATTTTTCCAGTTGATTCTAACATGTCTTCTATGCCAATTGCTGTTTCAACAGCTGCATCAAAACATTTAGGTCGTGTAATAATCCTGCTTGAAATATGAGGTTTTAATCCTTTCAAGAATCGATTTAGCATTATGTCGGATAATAAGGCTTCTCTTTGCTGTGCTGCAATTTCTTCTTGTAAGTAACTGGGGTTGTCTACTACCACAGTTTGATTCATACCAAATCGCATGACCTTAATTTCCGTTGTTTGTTGTGAGTTTAAACTCATGGCTGCTAATCTCATTCTTAAAGCAAAATCTTTTACTCTTTCATTGTCTTCTTGATAAATTCTATCTAACTGATCCAAGCCTCTAGCTATTCCTTGAATTCCAAAATTCTTTTGTAGTTCAGCAATTATATGTTGATAATTGGAATACATCAGTCCTCTTTGAGCCACTATAGTATTAAATGCTTTTCCTGTGATTATAAGATATTATAAGATTATAATTGCATAGAATATTGCATATAATTGCATGCATTATTATTGCATTATAAGATTTTTGATTTCTTCATCATTCATGGAACTGGCAGCAATGGTTGCTAGAAATTTAACATGCCAATCATTCCATGATATATCTTTGCATTCTCCAGTAAACATGGGAAGAGCATTTATAAAAGTACAGGTATTACTTTTACTAGAATTTATAATTCTACCCTTGGATTTATTATAGAACAAAAGTTCTTCTGCTGTTGGGAGTTCTAATAGAGGCTTTCTCATAGAGTTAGCTGAGCAATTTATATCTGGAATAGACATTGATGGCTGATCATTATTGCGAGATATAGATTGAATAATTAAATTAGACAAAACTTGATTTACTCTTTCTTGTTGCTGTTCTTCAACGTTTATCTTTTCTTGTAAAATTTCCTTAATATTATTGTAGTCTCGAGCATTGTTTTCTAATTTCTGAATTTCTTGAGCGATAGCCACTTTTCTGTTGGCTGTGGCTGTTGCATCTTCATTTCGATAATGCTGTAT